AAGGTGGCAGCAGGGCATGGGGGCACTGGCACCCCCTGCAGCGCCCCGGGGCTGGGTGGGCAGCAGAGCCCTGCCTGATTTTTTTGCTTTTTGGGTGTGCCCCTCTAAGATGCCTGTGCCCAGGGTGCGCCCAGGCTTGATCCTTGCACAGAAGGAGGATGGAGATGCCATGAGGTGTGTGGGACCGTCTGGGCTGGCCCTGGGTGCTGCTGTGGGTGGCAAGCAGCAGCACCCTGGGGTGGGATTAATCTTCACTGCAAGCTCTGGTTGATGACCGTGTCCAGTGGCCCTGTCCTGGGAGCGTTCTGCGCCCAGCTAAGAGGCACGCTGGCCTCTCCCCTGTCCTCGCAGGGTTCGTGGTGGGCCACGCCGGGCTGTACCAAGCCCTGGCCATGTTCGCGGTGGCATACTTCATCATCGGCATGACGGTGCTGTCCGTGTGTGCCATCGCCACCAACGGCGCGCTGGATGCCGGAGGAGCTTACTGTATCCTTTGCTGGGGATGCTGCCAGGGTAGCGTGTGTGGGCCAAAGTTGGGTGACCACCCAGCTGCCTTGGGGTGTCACGCTGGGCCTGGGACCCCCTTGGCCTGGGAGGGAAGGTTGGGGGCATCCAGTGGTGGTCTGGGCTGCTGAGATCTTCCCTTGACTCAAGCAAGATATGATCAGCCGTGCCTTGGGCCCGGAGTTTGGGGGCAGCATCGGGATCATGTTCTTCCTGGCCAACGTGTGTGGCAGTGCCCTCTACGTGCTGGGGCTGGTGGAGGCGGTGGTGGACAGCTTTGGGATCCCACCTGGTGAGTACCCCTGTGTGTGGTGGCAGGGTGTCCCTTACCTGAGCAGCCCTAGTGCCCTGCCAGGTGTGCCAAGCACCATGGCCAGCAGAGCTGGCACAGCTCACCCAGCCCTCTGGCTGGTGAGTTGGTGCCAGTCAGGCCTGGCACAACACTTGGCTCCTGGTGATCCCGCTCCGAGCCTCACTGATCATGGTTTGTCTCTGTCCAGGGCAAAAAACAGGCACAGGTGTCCATGTCCTGCCCCAGAGCTACTGGTACGAGCTGCTCTACGGCACCATCCTGCTGGCCCTCTGCCTCCTCGTGTGCCTCGTGGGTGCCTCCATCTATGCCAAGGCTACCTTCCTCATCTTCCTCGTTGTCGTGGGTGTCCTAGGCACCATCCTCATCAGTTTCTTCGCCACACGGCCCATCGGGGTGACCATTCACCTGCCCCACTTAAATGGCTCTGAGACAGAGAACGGCTCCTTCACCGGCTTCTCCCTTGCCACCCTGCGGAAAAACCTGGGGGGTGAGGAGAGGCTCTCCCCACTCTGCCCGCTGCACCCACTGTGGCTCTGGCACCTCCACATCAACAGGGGCTGGCTGGAGGGTGGGAGAAGCTTGTGGGTAGAAAGCAGGTGATGTGGGGTGGTTTCTCCTGTGGTTTGTGCATTGCGTTGAGTATACGCTCGGTGTTGCATATTGTGTTTGTGCTGAGGAGAGCGTACATGCTGGGGCTGTGCTTCCCTGGACATCAGAGCCTTTGCCCATGTGTCTTGCAGGTGGGTATGGGGTGGACTACACCACTGGGCAGATGATGAGCTTCAGCTCCGTCTTTGCAGTGATGTTCAATGGTTGCACCGGCATCATGGCAGGCTCCAATATGTCAGGTACTGGGTGGCACTGGAGGTGGGGAGCTGAGGCTGGAGGAAAGCAGAGGGGTGCTGTGCCTGTAGGCACTAATGCTCCCTGCTCCTGCACACAGGGGACCTGAAGCGCCCGAGCTACTCCATCCCCCGGGGCACCATCTCTGCTGTGCTCTTCACCTACCTCGTCTACAACCTGCTGGCTTTCCTCATGTGTGCCACGTGCAATAGGTACAGCTACCCATCCCCTTGCCAGGGCCATTGCTACCAGGGTGTGCCTGATGCCAGGGCGTGCTGGCCTGAGACAAGGCACCTGCCAGCGTGTCCATGTCCCTCTCTTTAGGATTCTCTTGCAGAAAGACTATGGCTTTCTGCGTGACATCAGTATCTTCCCACCCCTGGTCACTGTGGGCATCTATGCTGCCACCCTCTCTGCTGCCATGAGCAACCTTATCGGGGCATCCCGCATCCTCTACGCCCTAGCCCGGGATGATCTCTTTGGTGAGTGCCCAGAGTGTGCTGGCACCTGCCAGAGCCCACCCAGCATGTTATCCCTGCTGGGGACCAGCTCTGGCATCAGGGAACACCCTTCTTGCTGTGGGGGTGATGTTTGTGGTTGGCATGTGCCCATTTGCATCACCTGCCTGCCCTGGTGTTTGTCCTCACCCAGCATCCAGGGTGGGAACAGGACTCCTGGCTGGTAGCTGAGCTTGTTGGTGCCCACCGGGGTGCCACAGCCCAACCTTCCCCTTCTGACCCTGCCTGCAGGCCGAGCACTGGCGCTGGCCAAGAAGACCTCTGCCAGTGGGAACCCAGTGATGGCAGTGATCCTCTCCTGGCTGGTGGTGCAGGTGAGGTTGCCAGCAATGCTCCTTTCTTGGCCTCACCAGGTGAAGGTGTCTTGGCACCTGTGCTGGGTGTCATGGAACGTGGCATGTCCCCCTGCCCCTGGGGATCTCCCCTCAGGCCCCCTGCCCCAGGTAATGCCCTTCCCTCCCTGAGAGCCCATAAATGAAGGACAAATCACAGCAAGGGGCAGGGATTCCTGCCTGTGTGGTGCTGCCTGTGCCCTTTCTTGGCACACCGCTGTTACGTGCCCCAAGCTTGACAGGGGATGTGCTGGGGGTGCCATCCCGTGGGGTGCATTCACCGTGTGCCCCCTGGTGCTTTCTACAGCTGGTGCTCTTCTCTGGGAAGCTCAACACCATTGCAGGAGTAGTGACCACCTTCTTCCTCCTGGTTTACGCCACCGTCAACCTGGCTTGCCTGGCACTGGAGTGGGCATCGGCCCCCAACTTCAGGTAAGCGCTGGCACAGGGAGGAGGCTGTGCCAAGATGTGGGGCAGGTGCCTGTCTGTGCTGGCCCTATGCTGGACAGAGATGCTGAGCACCCCTCTCCTGGGCATTAGGGTGGACAAAGACACCCCTGTTCTTGGGGAGGGAGAAAGGGACAGGTCCTAGTGTGGCTCTGGCTTGGCACAGTTCCCACACCCTGGCACCGGTTTACTGAGCGGGTACAGATAAATCCAGCACCACTGGGTACCTCCCACCCCTTCCCCTCAGGCTTTCCAGAGGTAATTTATAGCCCGTGGCCGCCCGGCTTCCCCCGGGCAGCTTGCCAAGCTGTGATGGAGCCCACTTTCCATTAGCTCTAATTAAGCTAATGGAGAAGGGGGGAAGGAGGGGGATCCTGCTTGGGGGGAGCAGAAAAGATCTTCCAGGAAGGAGGAGTGTGCGTGGCAGGCAGCCCTGGTGTGGGGCATGGCATGTGGGGTGCCCTGGCTTGGAGCTGGCCTAGTAGGGCTGCCCCTATCTAGGGGGGCCTCATGTCTCTGCTGGGCAGTGCCTGCTGCCCTTGGTGCAGAGTGCTGTGACTCCATGGCAGAGGGGCTCCCCACGGTGGGACAGACGTGATGCCTGAGCAGGGCTGGGTGGCACTGCCCCGGGGTACCCTGGAATGCCCCATTCCCAAGGGCGAGATGGTGTCTATGCCAGGCTGGGGTTTACCACCCCCCACCCCTCCAGCTGCTCCTTTTGGCCAGGCACAAATGGGGCAGGATCAGTGCCTGGGTAAGGCTGCTGAGGTGGGTGGCGATGGTCCCCTCACCCACCCATATCTGGTGCCCCCCTACTTCTCACACTGAGGTCTCCATCAAGCGCAGCGGAAAAGGATTTTAATTACCTTTCAGGAAAAACAACAATTAGAGAAAATAACAGCTTCTCGCCTCCCCGCCTCCGCCTCCCTGCACCAGGCTGAGCGGGCACGGCAACTGCTGGCACTGCCACACGCTGCCTGCCACTCCCTGGCCCTCTGATGTGCCAGGGCAGTGCCAGCCCCATAACCATCATTGCCCTGTTTGACAGGGCACTGCCTGGTGCCTAGGGAGGTACCATCTCTCCCCTGTGCCCTCTCCCTCCGGCATCTAGGGTGCTCGATGTGCCCTGGTCTGGCACAGTGGGGTTCACTGGGGGTGGCTGGTCACCTTGTCACAACCTCCCTTGCCATGCCCACCTTGCAGCCAGTATGGGAACCACGTGGTAGCAGCTGTCCCCTTCTCCCTGCTGCAGGCCCACCTTCCGGTACTTCACCTGGCACACGTGCTTGCTGGGCATCACGGGCTGCTGCGTCATGATGTTCCTCATCAGCCCCGTGTCGGCCTCGGCAAGCCTGGGCTTCCTCCTCCTCCTCCTCCTCGCCCTCCACTACCTCTCACCCAGCAGCACATGGGGCTACATCAGCCAGGCCCTCATCTTCCACCAGGTGAGGTGTCCCCTCCACCTCTCCTCCCACCTGCTGGCCCCTCACGGGATGGAGAGCTGGTGTCCTCAAGACGGTGTCCCTGTGACAGCGCGTCCCTGGGGCTGGCATCCGCATGGGTGTTTTGCTGAAAGAAAGAGGATTCCTCAGCAGCTGCCCTCCTTCCCTGCAGGTGCGGAAGTACCTGCTGATGCTGGACGTGCGGAAGGACCACGTCAAGTTCTGGCGCCCACAGATGCTGCTGATGGTGCAGAACCCGCGGGGCAGCACCCGCCTGATCGACTTTGTCAATGACCTCAAGAAAAGTGGCCTCTACGTCCTGGGCCACGTCGAGCTGCAGGACTTGGGTGAGGGTCTGCACCATCCCTGGTGCTGGTGACCTCTGCCCCTTGCTGTGGTGCTGAGGGGCTCTGGGAGTCCTTGAGGTGATGCCACTGCACAGCTCCTGGGTGGGCACAGTAAGGGAATGTCAACATTTTGGGCATGCTTGTGGCACCTTGGGTTTGGCTTGGTATGGGGCACATGGGTGGCTTGTGTCTGTCCCATGCTTGCACACGCGTGCTGTGAGCTTGTACTTGCCTGTGCTCAAGTACTCAGCCCTAGATGTGCGCGTGGGGCTCCTGCACGTCCCCATGCTGGTGGCAAATGCCACCCATGCTCCTCTGGGTCGCCGGGCAGCACGCTCCCGGGCACAGGTCAGCGCCGTGCACACCCAGCGCAGGCTCAGCGCTGTGTCTGTCCTCGTCCTCGCCTCGTGCCCGTGCCCACGGCCGTGTGCTGCGGGGCTGTTTGTGCCCTGGAGAGCGCTGGTGCGTGCACACGTGCGCCCGGCACACGCCGTGGCCGTCGTGTGCTCCGCTCCCCCTCTGCCGTTGCTGTGGTGACTAATGGCCTGAAATTGGGGAGGGGGGATGGTGCTGCCTGGGTATTTTTCTATATATTAATGTGTAATTTCATCTCTCTGGCTGGAAGCACCAGCTTCCACCTGTTTCGGGGGTGCTGGGGTGGACACGGGTCGACACTAGTTTTGCAGGGGGGTGCTGTGATGCCAGGGTGAGCCCCCAGTATGGGGTATAAGACCCATCGATGCTCTTCTTGCTCCCCACCCAGATGCGTTGCCCTCGGACCCACTGCAGCCCCAGCAGGACTCGTGGCTGAGCTTGGTGGACAAGCTGAATGTCAAGGCCTTTGTCAGCCTCACCCTTGCGCCCTCAGTGCGGCACGGTGTCCGGCAGCTCCTCTTCACCTCTGGCCTTGGTGAGTGATGTCTGCGCTGGGCATGGGTGAGGCTCCCCCCCCGCAGGATGAGAAGTGCCGTGGGGTTTGGAGGCATGTGGATGGGTGATGCCAAAGCCAAATTAAGGCTTGGAGGCATCTGCGTTGAGCAACGCTGAAGCCAGATGGGCGCTTGGAGGCATTTGTGTCAGCAGGGTTGAGGGGCTTGAAGACTCCTGGATGGGCAATGCTGAGGGGGTTGGAAGCACCTGGTGTGGGTGGTGCCAACACAGAGTTGGATCTTGGGGAGGTGTTTGGTGGGCAATGCCAAAGCCAGGTTGAGTCTTCAAGGCATCTAAGAGCGTAATGCTGAGGAGTCTGGAACCACCACAGTGAGCAATGCCGAAGCCAGGCTCAGGCTCATTGACATCTGCAGTGCCAGGAGGGCTGACGGAGCCCTCCACCTCTGCTGAGTCGCACTGGTGTGGTCTCTCCGGCAGGTGGGATGCGCCCCAACACCCTGGTGCTG